ATTTGCAGTGACTTGCATGGATTAACAAATGTGGAACTAAACATTCACTCTGCCTGAGCACCATTTCTCACATCTGCCTGACTTTGAGTGAGCAACCTCAGTAGCATGAAATTCTAGTGTTAGATAGCCACTTAGAAGCCATCTACACTACATCCACAACACTACAGCTCATTCTCCAACATCTCTGTCTTCAAAGACTTCTCAGGACAGTCAACTCACTACTCTTTTAAAATATATTTTTATTGATCTCAAAGAGGAAGGGAGAGGGGGAGAGAGAGAGAAATAGCAATGATGAGAGAGAATCATGGATCGGCTGCCTCCTGCACGCCCCCTACTGGGGATTGAGCCTGCAACCCGAGCTTGTGCCCTTGACTAGAATTTAACCCAGGACCCTCTAGTCTGCAGGCCAATGTTCTATCCACTGAGCCATACCAGCTAGGGCCAATACACTACTTTCTGAGAAAGGCCAGCACACTTTTGGACAATATTTTTTTTTGGGGGGGGGGGGGGTAAATGTTAATTTCTTTCAATGGGGTATCGAGTTCTGAAAAGATAGAGGGAAACAATAGCATTATTCTGGTTTGCTGACAGTAGCAGCTTTGAGAATAGTACTCATTGACTTAATTTGGGAGGAATCTGACTCTCTGATTTGAAATCTTGACAACATCAACATTTACTTTCATGCAAACAGAGCCCTCCTGAAGGCATGTCTTGGCTTATCCACAGGGGAAACAACCGATTCTCCCTCATTCTTGAATGTACTTCAACATTCACCCTCCAGAAAGCTTCCACTGACTGTGCAGGAGCCGTGTACCTTCATGACAACCCCTCCCCTCCTCCCCCCGCCCACATGTACTAAAACATTTAATATAATCAGTTAATTCACTTAGTCATTACTCAATCTCTGAATAATTACTGCATTAGAAACATCTGGAAGGCTTCTTAAAGCGCTGATTATATGCACCTGGGTCCTCATTTACCAATTTGAATTTATTTTATAGCCCACTTCCTCCAGTTTAGTTCAACAAATATTAAGCCCTAACTGTGAGCAAGGCATTGCTGACCCTTACATCCCAGGACAAGGAGCTGGTCCCTCTTTCTTAAAGGAGTTCTTGCCTTAGTAAGGGCATACGGGCATCTCAACAGAAATGTGCAACCATGTGTTCACAGGGCACCAGGAGGCCCCTGAAGCCAGGTATCTGCCCCAGCCTAGGGGGCCCCCGAGAAGGTGAACAGGTAACTATGAACATCCAAGAAACTGGGATGGATACTAGGCAGTAAGAGAACAAAGTCCAGGTGCAGAGATGTGCTGAGCCAATGGTCAGCAAACTCATTAGTCAACAGAGCCAAATATCAACAGCAGAACAATTGACATTTCTTTGGAGAGCCAGATTTTTTCAACTTAAACTTCTTCTAACGCCACTCCTTCAACATAGACTCGCCCAGGCCGTGGTATTTTGTGGAAGGGCCACACTCAAGGGGCCAAAGAGCGGCGTGTGGCTCACAAGCCGCGGTTTGCCGACCAAGGTGCTGGGTGAACCAAAAGATGCATCCTCTTTCCTGTCTGGGCTCTCTCATCCTTTCTCAGCTGTGTGTGCTGGAGTGTAGGGAGACTTTGCCTCATGGGTGTTAGACTCCCCGGACTGCTACAGACTGTGTGGCTTAACACACTGGAAGTTTGAACAGCAGAAGTTTACTCTCAAAGCTGTGAAGGCCAGAAGCAAGAAACCAAGGTGTTGGCTGAGCTGTGCTCCCTCTAAATGAGGATGAGGGAGGCTTCCAAATCCTCTTCTAGCATCTGGTGACTGGCTGGCCATCTTGAGTATTCAAGCTGTACAACCTCAACCTCTGCTTCTGTTCTCACGTGGCTTCTCCCTGGGTGTCTCTGTCTTCATGTGGCCATCCTCTTATAAGAATGCTGGTCATATAGGATCGCCCCCGTTCCCCAGTGTTATCTCCTTTGAACTTAACCAATTACATCTTCAACAGCCCTATTTTCAAATGAGGTCATTTTCTGAGGTCTCGAGGATTGACTTCAATATCTATTTCTCCAGGGGACGCGGTCCATCTGTAACGGTTGATGTTGATACATCACTCTGGGTTGAGTATGTTAGAAATGCCCAGTCTGGTTGTGAGCAAATCCAATTGTTATCATTTGTGTCCTTCTTACCCCTTATTCTCCCAGCATTTCCCCAGTCACTGCCTGGCATATTCATAGGGACCAAGAGACATAAATAGAACAACCCACACAATCAAGGATCAAAAAGCCCATCTTTTAGAGTGATAAGTAGAAACTACCCCTTTGGGCCCTAGCTGGTTTGGCTCAGTGGATAGAGCGTCGGCCTGTGGACTGGAGGGCTCCATCCCCAGTGTAGGGTGTGCAGGAGGCAGCTATTCAATGAATCTCTCTCATCGTTGATGTTTCTATCTCTCTCACCCTCTCCCTTTATTTCTGAAATCAGTAAAAATATATATTTTTTTTAAAGTAAGAAACTACTCCTTAGAATTTTACACACACACCCCTAAAGAAATATATATATATCTCTGATGATGCTATATATATATATATATATATATATATATATATAGCATCATCAGAGAGTGTGAACAATTTTATACTGTACTTCACCCTTTCTAGTGAATCTGCTTCATTGTGGAATGAAAATGAGGGAGAAAAACCAAGAAAGAGAATTTCCAAGCACTTAACATAGCGCCCAGCACACAGGGAGCTATTAGCGATAACAACACCGTTGCTTAGTCACATTACACCAAAGAACACCGAATATCAGTTACAATCGCATGATTATTAGCATTTCTTGGGAGTGTGGCAGAACAGCTACTGTGCACTCGGTTTTTGGGGTCCTATCTGCTCACGAGGTAAACTGACCTGGGTAACATCAAACTTAATGCAAATGATAACAATCCGATTTCTCTAGGAGACAAGCCTGCCATTCGATCAGGTTGAAAAAAAAAAACTACGAGATATTAATAGCCTTAAACAAACAAAGTGCTTATTATACTTCATGGCTTTTTTTGGGGGGGGAGGGGTTACTATACTGTGTGTGTCTCCGATGTGGCTGGGTTGGGATTGGTACTAAGGAGATTGCACACTGTAAAATTTAGCACAACAGCACCGTTGAATGGTTTTTTTCTTTCCAGTAGCACTTTTTGTGAAGTCTAATTGAACACAGTTTTTTTGGCTGGCTTTTTCTTTTATATGCCCTCAGGCAATATGAGAAAGGAAAGCTGAACTCTGTGTGTGTGTGTGTGTGTGTGTGTGTGTGTGTGTGTGTGTGTGTGTGAGAGAGAGAGAGAGAGAGAGAGAGAGAGAGAGAGGGGTGGGGAGGAGGAAGAGAGAGAGAATAGCATGCACACACATGTATTTGGGGTTAGGAAAGGGGGCTTTCATTAACCTTATTAGTGCTATACTCCCCAAAATGTTAGGATCCCAAACTTTCATTTTGCAGCAATGGGGATCCCTTTAATCAGCAGGCCTACATCGTCAGCCATGTATTTTCATGCTAAAGCCTCAGGGGTGTGCGTAGTTTAAAATCTTTTGCAGAAATACATATATTTTTCCCAATAAAACCTGGTTACTTACTTATTTTACTCCATAATCATCAATTTGCCCTTTCATCCTCAAATCTGACACATCATCTAACATTTGCTATTCAGCTTGAAGCCAAAAATAAACAAGTATAAACATTTAGGATTTAGCCACTGTCCTGTGGACCCTTGCAACTGGTCTCTGCAAATGATATTTCACCAGATTTGATGAACTGGTGATTGCCTAAGTGCAAACTGAAGCGGGTACTGAGGCCCTGGCTGGGTAGCTAGTTGGTTAGAGCATCGTCCCAACACACCAAAGTTTTGGGTTTAATCCCCGGTCAGGACATATACAAGAATCAACCAATGAATGCATAAATGGGTGGAACAACAAACTAATGTTTTTTTCTCTCTCTCTCTGAAAAAAAAAAAAAAAAGTTTGAAAAAAAAGAAATGGGCATGAAATTCAAGAATTAGAGAAAGAGGTAGGAGAAAGCAGGACTGCTTTTATTTTCACTCTCTTCTGTTGATCTGACTATAAAATAAAGACTGGGCCTGCAGGCTGCGTCACTGCCTCTCCATCTGGCCCCGGCTATATTCTCTTCTCTGTTTTCCTTAATCCTTCTACACTGTCGTGCAGGCCGTGGTTCAGAGGGCGGCCTTTCCTGGTCCCGGCAAAGGTGACTTCAGCTGATGTCTGGGTCACTACCAAAGTGAGCAGCTGCTGCTCCTGACCCGGGGTGCCTTTGAGATCCACTGAGTTGTTTTGTTTTTTTAATCTCAGTACATCCATCTATGGATCCCCAGTAGGGGATATGCAGGAAGCAGCCAATCAAAGACTTCTATCTCTCTCCCTCTTTCTTCCTCTTCGAAATCAATAAAAATATATATTTTTAAAAAGAATAAGTGCCCTAGCCAGTTTGGCTCGGTGGATAGAGTGTCGACCTGTGGACTGAAGGGTCCCAGGTTCGATTCCAGTCAAGGGCACATGCCCAGATTGTGGGCTCAATTCCCAGTGGGGGGCATGCAGAAGGCAGCCAATCAGTGATTCTTTCTCATGTATGTTTCTCTCTCTTCCTCTCTGAAATCAATAAAATATATTCAAGAAAAGAAAGGAAAGGAAGGAAGGAAAGAAAGAAAGAAAACAGCCATAGGATGAGAAGAGGAAGCTCTGTGATTTCTCTCCTTAGGGTGGGACTGGACCTGGGTAATCTGACTTTCCAGATTAGGAGGTGAACTTCTGGACTAAATGAGTGGGTACCCCAGTCACTCATGCTCAGAGCATCACCACGCCATACTAAGGGTTCTTCCCTCCGGAGTATGAGGGTCTGTATGATGAGTGGGGGTGTATAGGATGGTTTACATCAGCTCAGAAAGTCTAAGGGAACACAAAAGCTTTTACAAACCCAGGCTTCAAGCTGGTTGTCCATGCCAACAACCCAGACAAAGGTTACCTGGTACAGTTCGATCCGCTGTTCGGGCACCCTGGCTTTGGGGTTCTGTAGACGGAAGACTCTGAACTCCGCCTTCACCAAATTGGAAGCATTCTTTTCCATGGCTGAGACATCAAAGCGGACGATTCTGAAGTAGGGTCTGTACAATGTGGGCGGGATGGCATCTGTGAAAAGTTAGGGCGATCATTGAAAATGATAAAAATCCATTGTTTTGTGTGTGTTTTTTCTCTCTCTCTCAAAAAGGAAAAAAAAAGAAAGTGAAGCTGTGAGACAGTCTCGAGAAACCATAAGGAAAATATCTACAGAACGATTTCGTTTTCAATAGCCCATTTCATACCATTAACAATTTAGGGGGAAAAATAAAATAAACATGTGCGTTCGGTTACAGGAGCAGCGGATTAATGGAGATTAACAAACCACTTTCAACTCCCATTTGCGGGCGTGCAGTGAACCCTCCGCTTTGAAAGCTGGCAGAGCCGTGGAACATGCTAGATGGCCATGAATTGGAGCATGTGTCCTGACAGTTGATGCTGGAGAGAGCTGTCAACCTCGCGTACACTGTAATCGCATTCGCCAGGAAAATAGCTCCTAATGGCGAGCAGTTTGCCCATGTATTTTCTTTTTCCTTGAAAAGTTGGCATCCAAATGTCCTCCTCTCTCCAGGTTCATGTGTTGCATCTTTTTTTGGCTTCGAAGGTTTGTTTTTTTCGCACACATGTGACCAAATACGCCCTCTCGTTAAGCTAGGATGAGGAAATCGAAATGAAAAACAACACAGAACTATACCCATGGACCAGCGATACAACATCCAGTCTTGGGATAATGTCCTTGCCGGGAGGGGACCTTGGCTGATGGAGAGAAAGAATGGGCACACATGCCTTCAGTGCTGAGCCATATAAAACAGCCCACCACGATTTCAAGCTCAGGGTGGCTAGAGTTTTGTGATGATTTTGTAATCGCCTGCCATTGCTTTCAAGATGGCAATGGAAGCCATACCAAAAGCAAAACGGTTCCAAATTCCATCCCCATGCACCCTATACAGTACCCATTGATGGAGGCCCTCACCCCGGGCAAGGCCACCTGCTTCAGATCTTTCTGCCATCCTATTCTAAAATCCCTTACAAACTTTCTTTCCTTATTCCAGAATGTTCTATCCACTCTGATGCCTTCCTTACCCTCTGCCACCCACTCCTGAATGGCTTTGCTTGGTCACAACAGAATCTTTCACAGTTGCTGATGGCTCTTGACAGACGTTTTGATGACTCCATCATTGTGTTTGTTTGTTTTGATCCCCCCCCCCCCCTGTGCGATTTTAAGGACCTTGAGAGCCAAGACCATGTTTGCCAAGTCTTTCTTCTTCTCTGCGTACCCAGGACAGGGCTTTGCACACACAGTTGACCGAATATCCCGTTTACACGGCTGGTCATCAATGGGAGCCTTGAAAGACTCCGGCATCTGGCTATTGGCAAGGCCAAGTTCTTATTAAGTAAATGAGCCATCTTACCGATCTTAAAATAGACATAAATACCTTTTGTGATTTCTGGAGAAATCCATGCCCTGACAATTACACTAGAGGGAAAAAAAAAAAAAAAAAAGGCTCGGAACACAGCAAGAATTCCTCATCTGAGAAGCTCTGCACTTTCTCAGCCTCAGCCCCAGAGCCTGGCCTGTCCCTGTGGCCAGGCCCTGGATTCTCGGACAGCAGTTCATGGGGAGTAGTGAGGTCCAGGCCATGCTCTGATGGAGGACTGCTTCAGGGAGGACTGCTTCAGTGACAACTGTGTGACCCGAGGGAGCCAAAAGTCTCAGTGGCAAACAAACAAACAAACACATTTTTTAAAAATCTAAAGCAACCAGGTCTCAGAGAAAAGAAAGCATTCACGCCGACACAGCGATGGCCATGAACTAGTTGGTGGGCAGTTTTCAAAGAGGGCAACCATTCACACAAGCAGGGAGGTTTTGAGGGCCACCAGCAGAACAATTTGAAAAGGTAGCTGCTGCCTTGGCCAGTCTGGCTCAGTGGATAGAGCATCAGCCTGCAGACTAAAGGGTCCCAGGTTCAATTCCGGTCAAGGGCTCATGCCTAAGCTGCGGGCTCCATCCCCAGGAGGGGGCGTGCAGGAGGCATCAGCCCAGCCCAGGTGATTGAACCGGTTGGTGTCCACCGACCAGCTTAGCACCCGGGACAAGAAGCCTGGGTGGGGGTGGGGCCAGGCACTTGGGCTCCCCACCCTCTCTGCTTTGCCCAGAGCCTTCCTAGTGGCTGCCTGCATCGTCCCGTGGCCTCCCCATCAGACACTGCACACGGGCTTTGAAAGCGCATCCTGGAAGAGCAAGGCTCACTCAGTGTGTCTGCTGTCCTTAGAAAGCGTAAACATCCAGCCCAAACCGGTGTGGCTCAATGGATAGAGCGTCGGCTTGGGGACTGAAAGGTCCCGGGTTCGATTCTGGTCAAGGTCATGTACCTTGGTTGCGGGCATATCCCCAGTGGGGGGGGGTGTGCAAGAGGCAGCTGATCGATGACTCTCTCATCGATGTTTCTAACTCTCTGTCTCTCTCCCTTCCTCTCTGTACAAAATCAATAAAATATATAATAAAAAAAGGAAAAAAGAAAAAGAAAAAGAAAGCGTAAACATCCAGTTCACTTCCCCCTTCGCCTTTCAACGCAACCCCCCGCAGGCCTGGTCCACCAACCCCCAGCAACACCCACCCGCCCCCTCTCATCCTTCATCAAGTGTGCAAATAAGAGCTCTCGAGATTTATTTTTATTCTCTTTTGTGTTTATTAAACTTTGAGCCATTACCCCTTTCCCCCCTTCTCTGGTCCTTGGCCTTATACTTTCTTGCTAAGGCAGCCATGGACCACGAGGTCAATTTTGTTTCTCCTTCTTCTAAGCAAACCGTCCAAGGATTGTGTCTTAGGCTTAGGAGCTTTGAAGGGGCGCTTGCAAATATTTACAGGAGTAGCTTGATCGTGAAGTCGGGGGGGGGGGGGGGGGGGGGGGCGGTTCCAAAAAGGGGTTGGGCCGAAACCAGTTTGGCTCAGTGGGTAGAGCATCGGCCTGTGGACTGAAGGGTCCCGGGTTCGATGCCGGTCAAGGGCATGTACCTTAGTTGCGGGCACATCCCCAGTAGGAGATGTGCAGGAGGCAGCTGATGGATGTTTCTCTCTCATCGGTGTTTCTAACTCTCTACCTTCCTCTCTGTAAAAAAAAATAATAAATTAAAAAAATATTTTTAAAAGAAAAATAAATAAAAATAAAAAGAATGGCCCTGATTAGGGGTTCTGGTCGGGGTTGAGGGGGGGGGCTGACTCGGTGCAAAGTTCCCCCATCAGAGGCGCAGAGCTGACATCCGGGCCTTTGGACGCCCAGCCTGCACTGGCTCTCACCGCCCAGCGCCTGGAGGCATAGAACACAGTCCTTGTTCTCCTTCCCAGAAATGACAGGGCTCCCATCGCCTTACGGTAATCGGCGTGGACTTTGACAAGCCTAATGCGTGCAGTGGCCCCTTGTCCCTGACATCCCCAGCTTCTTGAGGGAAGCAGTTTGGGGTCCATTAGACGTCCCAACCCATTGAGCAGCTGTAGGTCCAATAAAACAGCCTCCGTGTGTGTGTGTGTGTGTGTGTGTGTGTGTGTGTGTGTGTGTCTGCGCACGCAGACACAGCCAAGCTAGAAACCAAGACAATTGTGTTTTGGGGTTTCCTGAAATTTGTCTTGGCTCGCCCGCGGTGGATTTCATTTCACTACCACATCCCAAATGCCGCTGACATTCAAGTCACAGCAATTTCACACGCAACGACCGAGAAATAAACAGCGCATCAGCCGTGGTTTCTGACGCTCCCTCCGCCGTCGCTCCTGTTCAGTGTAACCCAGCCCCCAGAGCATCTGTGATTGGAAGTGGGGGTCACCACTCAGGGCCGGTGTCAGACCGGATATGCTGTTGGCAACTGGGTGTCTAACTGTGTCAGCATCAGCCATGGGACTTGGCCTTCATGTCCCTGCTATTTGAGACGGGACGGACTGTCAGCGTGAGCATCTGGCCCCATCTGACACAGGGCCCCCAAAAGCAATCGCAGGGGATGCAACCTGGGTTGGGGTGGGGGGTAGCTTGAGCTCAGGGTTTCTAGTTCCTTCTGCAAAGTTTCCAGCATCCTCCTAATGCCCACCTCCAGGGAGACACCTATTTTGTTTCAATGCCTCTCTGTGTCTCATCACGCTTGGAATGCAGGCCTTTGGGTGGGGGTGCTGGGTTTTGGCAGTAAGGGCCTTGGTTGTGAAAAGGGGTGAGCCTATTACCAAGAGGTCACGGTTCGGTTCCAGGTCATGGCACATGCCCAGGTTGTGGGCTCCATCCCCAGGAGGGGGCGTGCAGGAGGAGCCGATCCACGATTCTCTCACACATGGATGGCCAATGTGTGTCTCGCTTGTCCTGGATGCTTCTCTCTCTTTCCAGTAAGCTTCTTGGTGAAGCTACCGCCTAATTGGAGGCATGATGGCGACCTGTGCTTTGCCCAAAAGCTAAGCAGCAGGGCGTACCCACGAGGGTTGCAAGCTATTTACTAATTTCATCACGTGACCACGGACATCTTAAAGTAAGGACTTGGGAGTGGGTAAATATGAAGAGGGAGAGAGCGGGCCCGGATTATGCAGTTTGAGATGGGGAAAAAGCAAACACAGCCAATACTCAGGCTCTCTGAGACTCTTCGTGGCATTTAGAAATGAGAGTCCACAACGGAACTGCCTGGCAAGTGCTCGGGCCTCTCTCACTGTCACTGGTGTCTCTAGTTCCTCTTATTATGGTTTTTGTCTACAAGACAAGACAGGGCTGCCTCTCCCAGACTCAGGACCCACGTGGATGGCCTACTACGGTCTCTTCCCTGACTTGGGCTCAGATATGTTTACTTACTCATGTATCTAGTGGGTCTAGTCCTGATACAAGCTGATCCATGATTCCCTTTCCAGTTGATCCTACTTAGAAATTCTTAAGCAAGCCAGGCTGACATGGCTCAGGGGCTGAGCATCAACCTATGAACCAGGAGGCCACGGTTCCATTCCTGGGCAGGGCACATGCCCGGGCTGTGGGCTCAATCCCCAGTAGGGGGTGTGCAGGAGGCAGCTGATCCATGATTCTATCTCTCATCATTGATGTTTCTCTCCATCT